GTGATTAATTATATTATATGTATATATCAGATATGTAATAAAAACAATTATATTTATTGATAGTTTTTATAAAAACCTTCTTAAAAAATTTTGTCCACATCATAATAAATGAGGTTGTCGTCTTGATACATATCGATATGTCTTGTATGAATAATTGATGTAACACTGCCGAAAATCTTCCATTTTCATGTTTCTTTCTCTACTTTCGACTTTACCCGCACTGTCTGCAGGATAACCATTGTACACTTTATATGCTCACATCGCCACTTCCATTATCGGAATCAAAGAATGACGTCAATAAGCGAGGCGTTTGTTTTTATCTCGCACAAAAACCCAATTTTCACTGGCCGAAAACATCCTCGCTTTTGTCAAACATGCTGCAACAAAAAATTTGTCATTTCCCCCTCATTCCCCCTCTGATATATAAAAGAAATAGACCATCTTTACTTTTTAAAATCTATTATTTCCATTTCAAATATCTCTTTGCAAATAAAAAGCTCGTTTGTAACTAAGCTATTTTGGATAAAGTTTTGGTCGTTTTTATTATATTCATGTCTTCTCCTATAAGTACTAGTGATAGTGAAAATTCACTCCCTTCAGTCAGAAGTCACTTGGGTGTTTTGAAATGTAAATGGGATGATTGTTCTTCAAGCTTTACACTTTTAAACGACTTAGTAAACCATTTGCACGAAGGTAGCCTATAAATACTCCTATGATACACCTGGTTACCAACAAGTTTCCCCGATATAGAAGGAACTGTTGAACTAGTGTGACCACTTTTTCCTTACTCTACAAATTTATCTTCTCCGCGTTCTCTTTCTAATTTAATCTTCCTTATTCAGACCACGTAGGTCGTAAAAAGGCAAATTATACTTGTGAGTGGGATAGTTGTCCGAGAAAAGGTGCTACTCAAACCTCACGGTTTGCTTTGATTACTCACCTAAGGAGCCATACTGGTGAGAAGCCGTACGATTGCAAAGAGCCGGGTAGATCTTTTTCTTTTCTCATTATACTTTTATATTTTCCATTTTTATTGTATTAAAATTTTTTACTTTTTTTATTAAAAGGTTGCGAAAAAAGTTTTACGCGACCGGACTCGTTAACAAAGGTATCCTTTTGTTAATTTATTTGGTAACATTAGTGATAAAATTTTTTTTTCAATTTAACTACACGTCTTTTATATAGCATATGAAGAGCCAACACGTAGATCCACGAAAGAAACGTATCATGGAAGAGGGCCCAAGAACATATAAAAAACGAAAATTATCAACGTCTCAGGAAGATGATGATGAATCTCATACTTCTCATAGTATCCAATCTAGTAGGCAACCGCGTTTAAACCATAATCAACATCACATTATATCACGACAGAGACAAAATTCTTCTCGTCAACCTTCTGAAAGACCAAAACAACAGCCATCTTCACGTCAGCAGTCTGAAAACCCTTATAATCCAAATCGTAGTTACACATCTGATGATGCTACTTCGGTATCTGAAGTTTCAGATGTATCTTCAACTGATGACGATAATGATAAAGATAAATCTTTTTATGAGAAATATCTTGTCTTAAAAGCTAAACATAGATATATTCGAAGAGAAAATGAACTACTTTTAGATGAATATCAATCTACCAAAAAGAAATTAAAGAGACTAAGAACGGAAAAGGACATTCTTTTAGACGCTGTTGTGGCTCAAGATGGTGATGGTTAATTAATGTTGTTTTTGCATTTTACATGTGTATATATCTGATATACCATCTATATATACATTATTGTACATAAAAAAGCTTTTATTAATAGGATTGAGGAATTTGATAAAATTACTTGTAAGCTTCTATGGCGTGACAAAAAATAAATCGTTCGCTCCTTTCCTAAATTTATTTATTTATTTATTTTTTGTATTATATTATTAATATTAATGACCATTTAATTTTTTTTCAAGTACCTGGTTTTTTTTTACATTTTCGCAAATTTCTTTAACGTAATAAAAAATAGATTATAGATTAATTTTGGGCAATATTCTATGTGTATCTCCGATTTTGCTATTCATACATCCTATGTATAAAAACTTTTATTTATTTATATATTATGATGGGCATTGCTATTTGTATTTATACCTCCCACTTTTGCTATTCATACCCCTCTCCTATAAAGTACAACGATAACTATTAAAATTTGCCTTTCCTATTATCGTTCAATAATATTATTGGGTGCCACACAATGTCATATGACAAGTGGCTAAAATTTATGGGAGAAAAAAAGTGGTGGTATAATTAGTAATTTCTTTAATTTTTATTGAACTGGTAATTATTACTAGTGTATAATTAGGTGTAATGCAGTCCGGGAATATACTAGGCTAAAGCCAGGTTCGTTTATATAATTTAACTTTTTAATTAAAGTTAGGGATATAAGTAATTCTAACTTCTAGAAACAGATACAT